AATTTATTAAATAATATCTAAAAGAAATATGCTTTAAACATAAATCAGCTGAAATCAGCAAATTAGGAATCGCATAAATGACATAAATGTTATGGATATAACAGTTGTATAATCACTTTTTGCAAAACAGAGGAGCTGTTTCATTACAGCAGGCAGTTAGAGTTTTAAGTTTATGTTCATTTAGTTTAAAGGACTAGAAAAAAACATTTTGGATTTATACACTTGTTTTATAATGAATGTAAAATCTGGAAAATGGTTAGATGACAATATATTCTGTACCTTTTTATGTGCCGTAAACTCAAAATGAACTCTTCATAACAAGCAAAACTATTCTGTAAATTGTAAATATTTTGCAAATTCTACCACTGCAAATAAGTAGTTGAACACCTGAGAAAATCAATGTTAATATTTGGTACAGTAGCCTTTGTCCCTCTAACTGGGGAAGGAGGTTGTTCCCCAAAATCAATACATGCCCCGGTCATCCTCTCCTTAATACAGTGCAGTCAGTCCCCCAGTCCCATGTGCAGAAAAACACCCCCAGAGCATGATGCTACCACCCCCATGCTTCAAAGTAGGGATGGTGTTCTTGGGATGGTGCTCATCATTCTTCTTCCTCCAAACACGGATAGTGGAATTATGACCAAAAAATTCTATTTTAGTCTCATCTGACCAAACGACTTTCTCCCATGACTCATTGGCAAACCTAAGACAGGCCTTGACATGTGCTGATTAAAGCAGGGGAACTTTCCGTGCCATGCACTCTGTCAAACCATGATGTCTTAGTGCATTACCAAGAGTAACCTTGGAAACGGTGGTCCCAGTTCTTTTCAGGTCATTGACCATCTCCTCCCCTGTAGTTCTGGGCTGATTTCAGACCTTTCTAAAAATCATTGACCCCACAAGCTGAGATCTTGCATGGAGCCTCAGTCTGAGGCAGAACTTTTCCTTTTTAGCTTCTTCCATTTTCTAATGATTGCTCCAACAGTGGAGCTTTTTTCACCAAGCTGCTTGGCAATTTCCTCGTGTTCTTTTCCAGCATTGTGGAGGTGTACAATTTTGTCTCTAGTGTCTTTGGGCAGCTCTTTGGTCCTGGCCATGTTAGTAGCTGGATTCTTATTGATTCTATGGGGTGGACAGGTGTCTTTATGCAGCTTACGATCTCCATCATGTGTATCTAATTTATGATGATAAATGGAGTGGAGGTGGACATTTTTAATGCAGACTAACAGGTCTTAGAGGGTCAGAATTCTAAATGATAGACAGGTGGTCAAATACTTATTTGCAGCTGTATCATACAAATAAATAGTAAAATTTATACATTGTAAGTTTTGTATTTTGTTTTTTGATCATGTCTCTCACAGTGAAGAGGCCTACTACGATGATATTTTCAGACCCCTCCATAATTTCTAAGTGGGAGAACTTGCAAAAGAGCAGAGTGTTCAAATACTTATTTTCCTCACTGTATGTATTGAGAGAATTTGCAGCAACTCAAACTTTTAATTGCTTTTTTTTAGAAATGTAATCAAACTGGGTATACCTCGACTTCATTGGTTCATTCCACAGGTTTTGACCTGCATTCATCAGAGAATCGAACTGTACTGTTAGTATGATGTGAAACAACTTTTTACTGAAAAACATTTGGTTGGAGTTTAGATTTACGGTAAAAATAAATGCATCAAGGCTGAAACAATTAAAGTAATCGTGTTTATCAATTATTGAAATAATCATCAGCCGATTAGATTATTCATATAGTCATTAATTAGACAATGCAGTCTCTATGATATGCAATGGCTTGAAGGCAAGATTTTATAGGAAGAAATCCATAAAGCACATTCTACTATCTGAGTATTAAGCGATCAATTAGAAAAAGAAAAAAAAATCAAAAGATTCACAGATTAGCAAAAAACCCATTAGTTGTATGTAATGTTGTGATGGATTTTTATTGGAGCTAAATCAAGAACAAATAAATTGAGCTAAACAAAAGACACTTAAATATTGAACTAAATAATGAGAAGTCCTCTCACTGCAAATTAGATCATTTGGTTTTATAACTGTTGCTTTGTCTGCTGCAGAAGAGGAGCAGCTTGATCTGAGGTATATTTACTCTCCTACTGCCTGTTAAGTCAGCCTAACATAGGGAAAGATTCATTTTTTTTTTTTTTCTTATTTATGATTTCTGTCATTTTTCTTTGTTATTTCAACTTTAAGGTTGAGCCAAGATCTTGCCAAAGACTTGGCGATCCTGGCCAGAGAGATCCATGACGTAGCAGGAGACGGTGATCAACCAACCCCTGAGGAAAAGAGCGGTGGACAGGTACTGTTTTCACACGTGCAGAAAGTTAACTCAATCTTTTGTTCCTCTCTTTGTTCTGTTGCATCACTTACGTCAAAGTCAGGCTTTAGTTTACAAATGTATAAATAGATGCAAACACGAGTTTTCATTTGTGTTCCTCATATAATTAGCTAAATATTTTTTTTTTTTTACAAACGTTTAAGTTTAGTCTTGTAGATGTGCAGATATACAGGTATATTTTAGCAATATATTATTTCATGAAGGCAAAATGAGTTCATTTTAAAAGAAGCAACATTTTTCTGGTTTTCTTTTAGATCATATCTTTATTTTCTTTTTCGGCCAAGAATTCATATAAAGCATTCATATTCATATAAAGTCTGTAAACATTGTCTTAATTTTGAATTATGAGCATGTAGTTTCTTGGTTGTTTTATTAACTGGAAAAATGTGAGTAGAAGGTGAATTTATGGACACATTCATAATGTCTGGTGTCGATGCTTTAAATTAAATTAAATGTGATTCTGTTTTGCTGTATGGACAAACCAGTTTGAGCTTGTCTACTTGTCCTCCCTCTGAGATTTGCTTCTAAACTCTTTTTGTTTTTCCAGAAGGTTCATCATGTCCCAGAGTCTGAGAAAAAACACAGAATCCAACAGAGTCCTTTACCAACAAGAGAACCTGAACTGAGGTCAGATGACCACGACCTGAGCTCCAGGCATTCGACTCAAAGCAGAAAAGAGGTGTGACTCCACAAGCTTCATGTTTTGTTTTAAAAGCAGTTGTTTCATAGTCTAACTGTATTTTTCTTTTTCTGTAGGTTAATGTGGAAAGTTTGATGCTGAATCCTGTGTATCAAGTCACAGCAGCCATCAGAGAAAATACAGAGCAGCTTGCTGAGAAGATTAAGTAAGACCTGAAGAAAGAGACCCCTGCATGCTTGATCTGACCAGAACTTAATCGTATTAAACTGCATTGTATCCTAAATCTAATCTTATTTAATTAAAATAGATTAGTCGGCCTACATACTGACAGAATGAGGCTTAGATCAGAGACACCTGATCTTCTGAGTAAATATAACTGTTCCTTTATCGTTTGTAATAAGCAAAGGTGCAAAATGTGCAATATTGACTTTAAGGATCTAAAGACGTATTTAGAGAAGTCTTCTTCCAGAGTGGGATGATCAAACCACAATTCAACAATAGCATTTATTGGAACTTTTAAAATATAGGGGTGTACCTCCTCTGATATTTGATTTTCCTCATTTAAAGTGTAGGATCCTGTAACTTAAATCTGAAACATGGTCCAGACGATAATGACTACAGCTTTTTAATCACCACTCCTGTCATTATTCAGGGTTCTGTTCCAGGACAGGATGGATATGTGGGAGGACATTGAGGACAGAATTCATGCAGACGGGGACATTTCTGTTGGCAAAATTTCCAACAAGGTCAGTGGGTTTTTTTTTTTTTTTTTTTTTTCCTTCTTCCACTTTACAGAAAATTGTTATTTCTTCAAAGTTTTTGCTTTAGTTTTACTCAGATTTACTGTTTTTAGGAAATGGTTTCTATTTTGAAAGAACTTCGGAGGGTCCAGATCCAGCTTGAAGGTGAGTGACTTAAACCCTGTTCTTAGATTGGATGAATTATTTATTATTAATAATTTTTTTAATTTCAGTTATTAATGCAGCCATGGACCCCAGTGGTACCAATGAAACAATCAAGAGCACCACTGCTGCTTCATCCTCTTCTTCCTCTGAAGTTCAGCCTTCCAGAACTTCTTCGTCTAGAGACTGGAGAACTGTCCACTCCGTCTCTAAGCGCGGCGGTGGTCCAAGGCCCAGCGAGAGCGTGAGGAGGGCCGCCGTGACACCAGATGACCTCCGTCAGGGATATTTAGTCTGAAGTCTGGCACGCACAGAAACACAGATGCACCAACTTGCTCGGCGACTATTCAAAGATCGCCGTTCACAGCTGTTAGCTAGTGAAACCAGTCTGAGAGGAAGTGACTGGATCTAAAAAGCTGTGGTGAGCTCACAATGTTTGGAAGTGTATTTTTTTAATAAATCAACCACATGAGGTGGAGACTTAAGGAAGTACCTTGACATTTCATTAAAGCTCACCTGATCTTGTTAAGCTTGATCTTACACAATGTTCTCTTTATTTGCCAATCAAATAAATTAATGTCTGATTTTTATGAATGTGTTATTATGTTGCTAATTAATAGCCAGCCTGAGTACAGTCATCTCAGGGAAATCTGTAAATGTATGTTTAGTTACAAATGATTTATTTGAATCTGACTATTTGTGCACAGGCTCCTCTGAACTGCATTGCATTTCTCTATAGATGAATATTTTTCCAGTGTTTATTTTTGTGTCTGATTCCTTTTCTTTGACAAATTTATTGAGGAATGTAAAAGCTATTTATAAGTTTTTTTTGTGAATCACACAGCAGGAATTTAGAGACTTTGTAGCCTCCTGTGCCAGACTGTTGAATGTCATTTTACACAGCTGCTCAAAGGCAATTGGGAGTGCTGTTTTTTTTTTTTGGTTCTCATCTTCTTATTCGGGAGCCGAGGGAGGAAATCCTTCAGGAATGTGCAATCTGAATGGAAGGAGGAGCCTACTCCTCTGCTGTTAAACCACCTTGCTGAACAAAGCAAGTGGCGATTGTTTAAAAAAAGGCACGTTTTTAAGCATTCCTGCTTATACAGAGATATGTTGCTTTGTAACTTTTTATGACCTTTCCTCCAGAAGCAGAATTGAAATATTTGACCAAAGATGATCATGAAAAGTTGTAATTTGTGTTCTTCTGAATTTTTTTCTCATTAATGCTCTGGTCAGGGATTAATCCCCCCCATCCCTCTAATCTGCATTGATGTCAATAAATTGGTGCAAATCTTTCAATCACGATTAAGCTGAGTGTTTAGATGTCTGTATTTTTACGTCCCACAGATTACCTCTCAATCTTGCCCTTTTGCACTATTGTCGGATGTTTTATCTTACGTTTATCATTTGACGAGGGTTAAAGCAAGCAAAGCAGTGCTGGTTAACCTACATGTACTGTATATCATGTGGGAGGATGTTTCATGCAGCCAGTTGAGGAATAGTTTACAAATTCAAGCAAAAAATAAATAATGTTGGGTTTCCTTTCTAAATCTGCTGTTTCTTCCTCTTTATGGAGTAAAGTGCCATCCCCCCCCCCCCCCCCAAGGAGTTTCAGAGAAAGTGAATCTTACCATATGTGTCAAATTTATTTGTTTTCTCTCATCCCAGATTTGGTAGTGATTTGCTGATAGTTTGTTGGTGTGCTATTATTTGCATAAATTATTAAATGATTTTTTTTTTCAAATAAATTGAATCAGAAACATGTTTGTTTCCTTGTTTTCATTCTGTCACCTCTCTTCACAACCCTCTGCTGCCCCTGAGTAAAGCACACATCTGAAAAGCTGAAATGAAAGTGAAAAGAGGAACTGTGCTCAGTTACATTTAGCAGCAGGGATGATCGCTTTAGATTTGGATGAGAGCTGAAGGGGAAGAAACAAGTGAAAAAAACAGGCTGGGTCTGTTATCTGGTGAGTTTGTTCTGCTTTGACTTTTAACATCGATGGATGAAACACATCATCTGTAATGATTAAAAGTTAATTGTCATTTTTGTTTGTAAAAGAAGCAAGTAGGGATTTTAAAGAAAAAAGATGACTTCTGTGTACAGAAGCCTTCATGACAATTATGTCTCCAACAAAGGGGTAGGTAGGCTCCAAAGTTTTAACTCTCCTTTGTGAGGTTGCCTTCACTAAAAGTCGTATCCTGTTAACCTTTTCAGAGGACCAGCTGTGTGACATTGTTTGTGATTTTGGGCTGCCTGACTGTACTCGGTATCATTCTTGCCATCGCTGTGTTGGAGAGACCACCGCCTCCGGAAAAACATGACACCCTCCCTGGGGAAACTGGTGGGGTTAACATCACTGACCAGTGCAGGTAATAATCCCATCAACACTTCTCACTTTACCATTATGTACTGTTTCTCTGAAAAACGACACTTACCCTTTGAGCTTTGTTTTGTTATGTCTTATCATGATGAATCTGTTTGGTTTGGGTGTTCAATAGTAACACAGATGGTTTTAAAACTTTCAGAAAGAGTGTGTCAGCTTCTCCTGAATCAATACTTTTCAAAACAAGCTTCCAGCTTTTGTAATAACAGTTCTTAATTTCTATTCTGACATCTTTTAGACAGAGATCTTTTCTTCTTTGCATAATTACTCAAACTTACTGGGGCGTTCTGACATCAATTTAAACCGTTCAGTAGCTCATGATGAACATTTAAGGTTTTCCAGCTTGGTGTAAGCTGAATAAAAGTATAAATGTATCCTTCAATGTGGATTTCAGATAGATGCACTGAGAACATTTTGTTTGTTATAAACTGACCTCTTTAGGTTTTTGTTTAACAAAGACTGTCTTGCTAGATGAGGCAAGTTTGTAGGTATTGGATCTTCCAGTCACAAGACAATTCTGTCACAAGTGCTGCATAAAAAAATGTAGGAAAACAAAAGTACACTATAGTGTACAAAGTGATTTATAGAACAAATATTTTAAAATTTGGTCTCTGAAATGCAGTGGAAGTGGGAGTTTTACTCTATTTCCTTAATCATAGTGAGGATACAGGCAGCAGCATTGTTTTTAAGACACCACTACAGTAATAATTTAACTAAAGATGAACACATGGTATACTTCTTTTCAATTCCTGTTGAGACATTAGTCCTTTTATTCTGAAGACGTTAATTCAGTAATAAAATACCCACTGTTCCAATTTGCTGTTGAAACACAGCTGATGTTGAAGGGAAGGATAGATATAGGCCTTTAGTTCTGCAGTAGCAGCTTGTCCAACTTCTTCTTTTTCAACTGTGGTTTGATAATTGCTGCTTTTAGGAGCAGAGAAAAAACACCTGAAAAAAGGGATGTGTTCAGAACCTGGAATCTCTGGTCTTCGTGATGCTGTTTGTTTACAAATGTTCTCAAGCAGAAGTCGAATCCTTCACAGAACAGCAGAATTAACATTGAGATGAAATTAGACACGATTGAGACGAATTCTAACAATTAATAAGGTCACCCTTAAAGATATGACCCTCGTCACAATATTATATTATCAAGCTATTGGAATATCACTATATATTGTGTTGTTTCGGGTTAAAATTAGTCTACATCTTCAACTGTGGCTGCCTATATATATATATATATATATATATATATATATATATATATATATATATATATATATATATATATATATGTATATAGGAACCGAAACATCAATATTATATTGGGCAGCCGAAAATTACAATATATTGCCAAAATGATTTTTCCCCAGCATCCCAGTTATGTGATATTATGTGTTGGTGTGATATGTCTTTTACACATAAAATCCAACTGAAGTACAAAAAAAAGTCTGTTACAAATATTTTTGTTATTATTTCTGTATTGCTACTATTTCCTGCAGCATGGCCCTTGTGGAAAGCATTCCTCTATATTTGAAATATAAAGACAATGCAACTTTTGGGATCCCTCTGGAGCAAGTCTGGAAAGACCTGCTCTCCATAGCATCACACAGGGTGGAGGTGGTGTCATTCTACTGGACACTAACAGGGGACGATATCAATGTGAACTCTTCCACAGATGTCCCAGTGAGTTCTTGACTCTGAGTTTATTTAAATAAATAACATGTCATTTATATTCTTTGTTAATGATGTTTTGTGGAAAAAGGGAAGGGACATCCTACAAGGACTCGGGGAGCTGCCCTCCAGGAACATATCCGTCCAAGTCGTGACCAGCGTTCCCACAATCAAATCAAACTCCACAGATCTAAAAATCTTGAAACAAAAAGGTTTCTTAATGTACTCTTTCATTTTTAAATACCTGCTGTAAACAGTGATTAAACTATTTTGCGGATTTTTCTGCAGGGGTTCAGGTGAGGAGGGTAGATTGTGGCCGCCTGACGGCAGGCGTTCTCCATACAAAGTTCTGGATCGTTGACATGAAGCATGTGTTCATTGGAAGTGCTAACATGGACTGGAGGGCTCTTACACAGGTGAAACTATAAACGGGAATGGATTTGTTTCTTAAAAGAATATTTTTAATATTTAAATAGCTGTTGATAAAATTCTAACTTTGACTGCAGGTAAAGGAACTGGGAGTGGTGGTCTATAATTGCTCCAGTCTTGCAATGGATCTTCATAAGATCTTCCAGTCCTACTGGGTGATGGGGGAACCCAACAGCTCCCTGCCTCAGCCCTGGCCTGCAAAATATTCCACTAACATTAATAAACAGCACCCCCTGCTGGTGAAGGAGGATAACATCTCCAGCAGCCTGTATATTGCTGTGAGTTCCTAATGATTTCTTTTTAAGAGTCCTGCTTTCTTAAGAACAGTGGACTATAGGACAGAGGTGACCAAGAGGTATCAGGGAGTTTGTTTTCAGTCCAAACAGCTAAAGAGAGTGTCGGGTCATCCAAATATCCTTTGTTTTTAATATTTGTGTTCCATCCCAGTGTTCTCCACCATCCTTCTGTCCTCAATCAAGAACTCAGGACCTAGAGGCCATCCTGTCCTCGATCTCAGATGCTGAGAAGTTTGTTGATGTCGCCGTCATGGAGTACTTTCCCACCACTCGTTTTGAAAAGCCTCACATGTGAGCCCAAAATACAATTCTATTAAAACCTGTTGGTCTTGTTAGATCTCCTCACGCTGGAGTTCTTGCAGATACTGGCCTTTCATCGACGATGCGATCAAGGTGGCTGCATTTGAAAGGAAGGTGAAGATCAGGATGCTGATCAGCTGCGGGCGTGACTCTGATCCAGCTATGTTGCCCTTTCTTCAGTCTTTGGCTTCAATGGACTACCCTCCTCATCACATCAGCATCCAAATAGTGAGATATTATGGAGGAGCTGTATCTGCAACTCCTATGTGATACTGTCCTGGAAAAAAATTCATTTGCCTCTTATTAATGTCTTCAGTTGTAAGATAAGATATTTTTTTTATCACTGAACAAGATAACTTGAGTACATATAAAATGTAGTTTTCCAATTATTATGTCATTATTAGAGGGGTAAAGTTTATACAAAGGAATCTGGGTATGCAATGAAGATTTTATCCTCCTAATTAGATTTTATTCCTGCCAGACCTGCAGCGAAGAAACAAAGACTACCTGTTTTATCAACATAACAGAGCTAAAAGATGTGAAAGCCATCTTATTTTTCCTAATCTGAAAAATTTAAGAACACAAGAGAAATAAGGTCATTATCTCTATCAGTATGGAGAGGCTTACAATGTTACTTTGAATGAACCACTGTAAGAGCTTTTATCCACAAAAGGAGAACATATGGAACTTTGGGGAACCCTACCAACGATGTCTGACCAGAAATTTATCCTCGTTTCTCCTCGAAGAATCCAGAACACCTTAAGCTCTTCGGGCTTGATCTGCTTAGCCAATGTCTTATTTTATGATAGCAATAACAAAGAAATATCCTCTCACAGCTTTCCCTCAAAAACACATTATGATTAACAAGAATTGCTGAAAAATATTCTGTAGACCAATGAGGCACAAGGGGAACTTTTTTGAACACTTGTGTCCTGTTAAATGTGCTGTAAGATTAACATAGTTTCAGCAAACGAGCACCAGACCGACAATCAATCTTTGTGGCGGAGTGAGGGTTTTCGATTATTTCACTGCAGGATCTGTAGCATCAGTTTTGGACTTCAGGTTGGACATCAGGTTTTAGTACTTTTGGGTTTAGAAGAAGAAACAATGATCTGAATGTGCTCTCTTCATCCTCTGACATGGGAGATGGCTCAGAGCTCGTCTGCCTGGCTGTGTGTTCATGGACAGTGCCGCCTTTTACAGTTGCTTTTTGTATCTCTGCTTCTGTCTCCTTGAACCCCAGTAGGCTTCAGTAGATGGCCGCTCACACTGAGCCTGCTTCTGCTGGAGGGTTCTTCCTGTTAAAAGGGAGTTTTTCCTCTCTACTATTGCTACAAGCTTGCTTAGTGTGAGGGATTGCCTTTGAGTCAATGAGTCAATGCAATCAACTGGTTTTCCTCAGAAAACTTTGAATCAACTAACAGTATGATCTGTTGAACTGTAAAGTGCCTTGAGATGACGTGTGCTGTGAATTGGCGCTATACAAATAAACTGAATTGTAATTGAATTTAATTGAAACTTCTGAATTGACAAAAAAATGAATGTTTTAGTGTGAAACAGTAAGATCTAAATAGTTTAACAAAATTAAGAGGCTGTATCATGTTGCTAATACTGAAAAAATATCCTCCGATACTGTTGAATTGAAACTTAAATCCAGCATAGAAGAGAAGACAAGCAAATCCTCTACAGAAAACCTAAACATGTTTTCCCAGGTATGTCCGAATTGAAAACTCAACGCAGGTGCTACCTCTGAGGATGGTAAAACCATGAGTTTTAAGGGTATAGTGGAGGATGTTCCTTTTCCAGGTGGATCATCAAAATAAGTCGTCCTCCTAACTGTCAATCATTCTGGTGATATGTTTACATAAGGCCGTCCTATGTGCACGTCGCCATTTTCACTTACCGGTGGTGAGTTTGACATACAAATGTAGTGGAAAAATTGCAAATCTTCTTTTGGAAAGTAGGCGATGCAAACAGGAACTTTTAAATAGTGTGCACGAGGAGAAATGGGCTCATGCATGCTGTTGCATGTGGTTAATAGCCATTCCCTCCCAGGAAGGAAGTACAGGGTTGTGCATGTGTATATTGTTTTTAAAGTGGAGAGGGGGTCTTTTCAAAAATTCACGACCATCCTCAACAATACCTTTAAGGGACAATTTACTTTTCCAAAAGGTCGGTTTGGATTGCTTTGTTTCCTGAGTAAATTAAATCATTATTGAAATCTGCATTTTAAATATAAAAAAAATTAAAGCCATTTGTAAGGAAGGAAATATTCTTCCAAAATGCTGTAAAGTTTTTTTTTTTTTCAAAAAAGTCGTCTGATTTTGTTTGTTTTTTTGTTTTTTAGAAACTGTACATCGTTCCAGTGGGAAATCAGTCTGACATTCCATATGCCAGAGTCAACCATAATAAATACATGGTGACTGATAAAGTTGCATACATAGGTGAGGTAATATTTTATGCTGGTGATTTTAAAGTAAAAGTTCACTTTATCTTATAGGTTTTACCTGTTTTTTTTTTAACCGACATAATACCCGTTTTCCAACCCAGGTACTTCTAACTGGGCGGGCGACTACTTCCTGACCACAGCTGGAGTTAGTCTGGTGATTTCCCAGAACTCTGCTCACTCTGGGTGGAACAGTAAGACGCTGCACAACCAGCTGAAGGACGTATTCAACAGAGACTGGCACTCAGAATATGCTGTGAACCTCAGGGATCTTCAGCGCAACCCGGACTGTGCACTATCACCACGATAACCACAGTTCTGATCAGACGACTATAAATAATTTATCTTAACATTTATACCATGACATTAATGTTGCATTTTTCTTTTTCAGTACAACATGTTATTCTTAATAGCTTTTAATGTACAGATTTTCCTATATTGTTTCTTTGAATGCATTATATATTAAATAGATGGATATCCTGTCTAATGCGTTTAGAGTGTAAAAAAAAAATTATCAGTCATTTATTTCATTATAAAGCTTCATTAGGGCTTGATGAAAGTTTTGAGGACTCATTGTTCTGAGATTCTAAGTAAATGTTTGAAATAAATTAAACATTAACACCAACAGTTAAGCCTCCTATAAGATGTATTTTAAAAGACTTTTTTTCAGTCTTCTTTGCAGGATTTCCTGCAACACAACTTACAACTTTATAGAACTGTATTAAACATTTATAGAACTTGAACCATAATTGCTGAATTGCAGACAAACGGGTACAATAAATTGACTTTATTGTTGGTCCCTGAAGGCTCTATGTGGGAAGCAAATAATTTTTTCAATGTTACTTTCTAAAACATTGCTGTCCATGTTTTATTATGACTGCATTGGATTATTTCAACAGAACATCCGATGACCTATTTAAAAGGTTTACAGATATTCTCCATAACAAAAGACTCTCTTTTATGGGGGAGATTGCAAATAAAGAATAATTCAAGTTCCTGCACCACAAAACAAAGTCTGCTACCTTTGATTCAATGGATTATTGGATCAGAGGTTGCAGACTCTCTTAGAAATAAAACACTGTGTGTTAAATGTGATGGGTTGTTATTAATGCGGTAAATTCCTTCACATAAGCAGTAACCTCTACAAGAGTCTGGCAAGAACAATTACTGTTCTACAGCTTGCCCTTCACACACATTTTGGCTATAACTGTACTCTGGCATACCCCGCTGCTGTGTAGTTAGACAAAAGAAGGTATGGGGGTCACAGTGAGTGACACTACTGAGGGAGGGACTAATGACGACCCAGGGGTTCTTCACATTACTATGAATCTTGTCATGGAGGTTTTCAGATTCCTAAAGCTGATGTAATGTGGTTATAAACCAACAATAGAAAATGCATTATGGTGTAAAGTCATATGTATCAAGTGGCTCATTAGAAATTCATCATGAGTTAACTTTTTTTATCTGCATACTAAAGAAAACTATTTAGCCTTACTCATAAAGACAAAGCTTGTTCTTTATTATTAAATGTTAAAAAATACACATACTTATTTAATATACAAAGAATTGAATTAGACTTAGTTTTAATTATTTTAGCTAATCCTGTATTATCTCAGAATTGTACGTATGTGTAACCAGCATTGAGAACACTGAGGTCAACTGTATGATGAAAATTATTCTGACTTTGATTGGTGTAAAGATCAGCATGCATTCTCATTTGTTATATATATATATATATATATATATATATATATATATATATATATATATAAAATCAAGTCCACAATGATATAATATTGCAAGTCATTTGATTCAGTTAGTGGGCCATGCAGATGCATGGTAATGATGGTGACAATAATAATAGTAGTAATAATAATTCAATATTAATAACCACAATAATGATATAGTATAATGATGATGATGATAATAATAATAATAACAGTCGCTCACGTACTCTAATTTTGTGAGTTTTGGAATTGTTATAATAAACATGTGGGCTTGTGATTTAACTCTTTTTATTCACGTTTACAAAATACATTTAAAAAAAGTCACCATATTAGGATGTTTTTTTGTCAAGTAAGATTTATCGCAATATTTGACCTCGGTATTTCAAAAATCCTGATTACAGCCCTGTCTGCAAGAGCGCACATAACAAATTTTTAAATGAAAAAATCCAAAGCAGCAGCATCGGGTGTTTTCTTCCATGCCAGTAGGTGGCAGTGTTTGATGCGGCGGGAGTTGACCGGAAGCTGTAGGGCGGAGCTCCACCTTATGGTACGTGTGCCTGTCTAACAGTTAGTGAGTTAGCCTTACAGCAGACAACAATCCGGAATTATGGTGTTACTCGAAAATGATTCGGTAAGAGCATTCATCAGACTCCCTGAAATTATTTTTACTCTTCAGTTGAATTCGCTGTTAAACATAAATGGTGTTTTCTCTTGCTGTTTGTTGACTTAAGCCTCAGTGGCTACTAGCCAGCCGGCTAACGGGTAAATTGAAAGTGGCTGAGAAAATATTAAAATACTTGCATTTTAAAATTATAAAGGCTTTTAACGCTCGCATTGTGGATTAAGAACAATGTTTAAACTGCAGTCGTGGATGTTATAGTGATAAACCTCACACATGGTGGAAATATCTGCCATATCAACGCTATAGGCTTAAATGAAACGTGTTTCTCGTTCAAAAAAAGCAAATATTCCCTTAATTTATCATAAAGTTCCAGATATACGAATTGAAACCATCTGTTCTTATTGAATTTACCACTGCAACTAGTTTTCACTCACAAAATTGGTCCCTATATTCGGTCCGATATTTCTTCTATTTTAATTAAATCTACTGGTTTCAGTGTTTTAGATGTCCATGTTGTTTAAATTGATAAATGAATGGACCAGATGTATCCTAAAAAAAAAAAAAAAAGTTAAGAAGTTTAATAAAAAAAATCAAATAGATGTTTTTAATGTCTTAAAATTAGCTCAGCTTTTTTCTCAAACTAAAGTTTCACATCCTGGTAATTCCTAGATGGGGAGAGGGAAAAAAAGTAAATATTCTGCATTTAAGATTTCGTCTGTCAATATTGCCTATCCAGAATTTTACAAGTGGGAAAGTTTTGGTTTCACCTGGTTCAATGCTGTAAAAAAATCTTCAAGGAATCTTTTGCTATCGATTTATAATCAGAAAAATAATAGACATATTAATTGTTAAGCAAACTAATCTTTAGTTGCAGTCTGTGTGAAAATACCATTATGGCTGAAACAATTAGTTGGATTAATTGTGATAAATTGATTATTTAAATAATCATCAACTAATTTAGTAATCAATTAATCGTTAACTTGAGTATAGAGACTCTAAAATGTGGGTTTAGCTGACAAAGCAACCCACTTAGAGCAGTAATTATACCAGAATTGTTAAAAAAGAAAAGTAAGCATTTTGCATTTATGATAAAAAAAAAATAAAATAAAAGTTCTCCTGCAATATGCTCTATCCAGAACTCCTTAAGTGGAAAAGTTTTAGTTTCAACAGATTTAATTTTTTAAAAAGTCTTCTTTTAGGAATCTTTTACTATCTCAAATTAATTGATAATGGGGAAAAATAATAGACAGATTAATTGATTTGCTAACTAATCGTTAGTTGCAGCCCTAAATACCACTATAAATCTTTACTTATATAGAATCTGGGTAAATATTCCAGTTTATATGTAGAAGTTACCATTTAAAATCAACAAAAGTGGTCACTGCTGATAATTTTTTGCATTATCTTCATACAGAAAGTTATTGAGACTGAAATGTATCAAACAGTTCTGAAAAAAAAAATCTAAGTTAGATATTTTTACCCCCGTATTACTCTGTGGTCTCTGATCCCTTTTTTCTGCCAACAGACTACTGTAAAAATATAGAAAAATGACTCAATCAGCCTCACCCATCCACCCCTGTTGATAATTATTGCAGTTACTTCACTGCATTTGCTCACAGTTTACTCTGAGCCTCTTTGTGTTTACACTCGTTAAATACCAGGATTATAGCATAAATCTCCAACTGTTCTCTTTAGTTTCTCACAGAGCTCACTCGGCTCTTCCAGAAGTGCCGAACATCTGGGAGCGTTGTCATCACATTAAAGAAGTGTAAGTTGTCCTTGTTGACCAGAATCACCCATTTAACCTCCAAACAGCTACAATTTCATTTTTTAAAATTCTTTTTAGATGATGGTAGAACTAAACCAATGCCCAAAAAAGGGTATCCGGAGTCATTCGAACCTGCTGATAACAAGTGTCTCGTCAGAGCATCTGATGGCAAGAAAAAAATTAGCACAGTGGTGAGTTATTTTTTTTTTCTGTTACTGTTTAGCTGCATGATCTCCTTCTAAATTGTGTTCCTATAATTTCAGGTCAGCACCAAAGAAGTAATCAAGTTTCAGATGGTACGTCTTATTGTTTTCGACTCACACATTGTTGAGAAATGACCCAGTCCTTCGTTTTAACAGCAAATCTTTAATCATTCTCCTGTATTGTATTCTTTCTAGGCATACTCCAACCTCCTGAGAGCTCACATAGATGGTCTTAAGAAGAAAGATAAGAAAAGCAAGAGCAAGAAGACCAAAGCCACACAATGAACTATAGACTCTTTATCAAACAGTGGATATCTGAGCTGTCCATTACAGTATAAAGGGGGTGTGGGGGTCACCTTGTGCTGATGTGACCTCCAGCCCCAATCAGTTCTCTCCTAAAACCTCAGAATCATCCTCCTGGTGACTGTAGATATGCCATTGTTTACATGGTGATGCCATATCCCAGGCTGTTCAGGGCCATCCGGTGATTAAGAACAGAACAGAACCTGAGGATTTGGATACGGAGCATGCCACCATTTATTTAATTATTACCTTTTTAAGTTGTGGGAGAAAAAACCCTGTTTCCCCACAGAGCCCAATGCTTTCTGGCCTTTAATTTCTGTTAACCCTTATTTATGTAGTGCAGGGTTTGCATTTTTGATTGGGACAACAATTATTTTTAAATATATGAATGGAAAGTCATAAATCTGTTTGATTGCTCAGTATAATTTATGTCTAGCTTATTTTCTTTACTATGACGAACAAATGGCCACTCTTTTTTTCTTTTTTTATAATACCATACCAAAACAAAAGGGTGTATATCTCCCCCCAAAATGTCCACACCCCGCACAAAAAAATAAAAGTAGAAAAAAAAAGTTTTTTTTTCTTTTTTTAAGACTCTCAGAGATTTCACCGATTCCTGCTAACGTGGCTGATTATAACAACACATGAGCAGTATAGAAAAAAGGGCAGCGATGACAGTATAGATATACACATTCCTGGGCTGCTTGTAAAACAGTCTGTTTCTGTGATCTCATAGAGCCGTGTTCTTGTCCAGTCTGTCCTTTGGGGACGCCGCCAGGTCACGCTGTCGGGCGCTCTCTTCCTGATATCCCTGCTTCATCAGGCTGGTTACATACTGGAACATCATCTGAATCGCAATGAAACGGCACAGAAATGTGGGTCAGGGTTTCTGGAGGTGATAAACAGATTTTTAAGCTGAATCATCTCTAGCATTTTATTAACTTCGAAGCAGAGTGGGAAATTAAAACATTAATGGATGAATTCTGGCATTTGAGAGTTATTTAAATCTCTTCACATACATGAAATATCATACATATTGCAGATTTTGATAGTTTTTAAAATATTCTAATAAAATTAAATCCAATATGGTTTAAGAAACTTAAAGGATGTTTGTCAAACTAATTTCAGCCTCTTGGTCGGTATGCCCATGTACTCTATGGTATGTGTGCACTCTAAAGATTTACTTACCGGTAGTCCTTTAAGTGTTTTTTTTTTTATTTTTATCTTCCTTTTGGTGAAACTATGGAGTTCTAATCTGAAGTGAACCAGGTACCAGTAGCTCAAGCTGTGCTAAAGCATGCCAGCAGGGCATGGCAGCAAGTCCTTTTCTGAACTCTGTTGATTTCTAATTAAAATATAAAATTAGCTTTTGTCTTTGAATAGATCTTTGGTTTAATGAGCTGCAGTCCAGCCAGGTCTTCCAAGCTCTTGGTGTGATATTTTCTCTGTTTCCCAAATCTTTACTTGTGCTCCTGCTTTGTCCTACTAAACTTCCCAAATATTGTGCTTAGTTACAGCTCTCTGTAAGCTCTTTTTCTCCATGAATGTTTGATGGACGGTTCACAACTCCTCCCATGATACTGTAGGCCATAACACCATACATGTCTGCGTTTAAAATCCGTTTTCACTGCTCTATCATTCATGCATATATCATATTCACTAAATAGAATTAAATTAGTACCATATTGAAGACTTTCTGCCACACTGGTGGAAAACTAATCTCATATTTATGACTTCACTATGATAAATATGCAATACTTTCAGATAATGAAATATCTTGTAATTATGCTTTAACTATTTAATAATCAGATAGCTGTCATAATTCTGATATATGGGTTTGTTTTTTCCATAATAGAAATTTGAAGAAGCTGATTAAATGATTTTTATTCTTTAGATGAATTATTGACCTATATTGACTTGCTAAGGGATGTATTAGTTTTCTCCACATGTCTAAACACACACACGGTTTAATATATTCACACTTAGCTGACAACAAAGGATAGAAAGAACTATCCATAAATGCAAAATGTATTAGTCCAAATTTTCTAACCTGATATTTTTCTAGCAATCTCTGCATAGGATCAAAGGTAATCCTGAAATGGATTCACCTGCTGGGAGATATTTTTGAACGTGTTGAGATGATTCAGATCTTACAGCAGAACAAGGTGAAGTCAGCCTATTATTTCTGCTGCAGCGATTCAGTCAGATGCAGATCTTTTCAGAGCAGCAGTCCAATTTGACATGTTGCTCGGTGCATTGAGTAGCTTAATAATCAACGGCAGCTGAAGGTGATGGATGCACCCATGATAATTGGCTGATCCCATTAGCAGCAGCTTCTGATTTCAGTTTCTGGAGGGGCTATGTAGAAAATTACAGTTTCAAATAATTTTACTGTAGCCCAAAATATATCTGAAATACATAATATGTGATGTAAACCTTTTTAATCTGTAGATCAGCCTTTGTTCCTCCTGCTCAGTCTGCACACTGACATCATTCACTCCTCTGTCCTTTTTCTCTGCTCTGTCCCACATGTTACCTCTTTTGAAAAGGTGAATGTGCAAGAAAGCCAATTTTCACTTCCGGTATTAAAAAAAGATCCCCTGAGGTCCCAATAATGAAAATCTACTTGAAAAATAATTACTTTATCCTGAAAAGTTATGAGAAATCTTGTGCAGAAGCAAACTGCCTAGCAGACTGAAAAATAAAGAGCTTGTGAGTTATTTTTAGATAAAGCCGATCATCAATACTGACAATTATATGTAAAATTGGAATAATTAATAGGAAATCTGTTATTACCCCAAACTATGAGACTCTAAAGTTTGTCTGCTCAACACTGAGGCTTATTTTTAGTTAACTGTATATGATTTATTTTTAGTGTTTTAGGTTGAAAATATGGAAACTGGCCCCTAAATCTGATTCTGACCAGTAATAAACCATAGTGCAACGTCACTAAAGAGCTGTTGCTTTTACCTATTTCACATTTTTTTGATCATTTTGGTGCATCTAAAAATAACATCAGCCAGTAGAAAACAATTCTAGATGATATTACTAGGAAATTTAACAAAGCCAAAAAAGGAAGTAGACATTTCCAGTTTATTCATAGTATTTATTCTAAATGACACAAAAACTGCAGAAGGAAGACATATTGCTCTACTGATTTCAAATGATAACAGTTCAGTTTTATTGCACACAGCTAAATTTCTGCAGAGACGAAGAAAAAAAGGCAAATAATGTTCAGGGACTCAATATAATTAGATAAATAAAATTCAATCATTTAGATTAACCAGCGATTTATTCTGGAATTTGAATAGTTTGTGTCACTGAATGATTAAATGTGTTTCAATTACCTTCCAAGCCTCCTCCAGCTCAGGGGTCCATCTCTCCTTTAGGATAGGCTGCACAGCACCAATGAACTCTGCACCCACGAACTGAAAAACACCAACCGGGTTAGAAACTGGAATTCAAATGATCAAATTAACTTTCAGCCTCTCCCTTCGGCTGCACTGATCATCGGAGGATCTTACATTGTAATATTTAGGCGGAGCGTTGTAGTGATAATGGCTTTTTCCCAGCTCCACAGCCAGAGCCTCCAGTCTCTCTGGCTGATCCAGTCTGGCCACAATCTTCTCAATAAATGACATCACCCTGAGTGATTGAAAGGAGGGGGGAGGGGGGGTTATTGATTTTGAAAACACCTGCAAGCAAACTCATGTTTTCTCCAAGCAGGAAGAAACCAGCTTCCTGTTTTGTTATGTTTTAAATCCACAGAGTATGATGACTGATGATGTTGCATGTGGTAGTTTTTAATTCCAGGTTTACCAGCAGAAAGCTTCCCAATGAGATGTGAAAAACCTCTAATCTGTGCTTGGATTGCTGAAATGCCACGCTACCCTCTGCACCTTCGGGTCTTCAGATTTTAATTGGCTGCTTTTGCCACAGCTCATCCTCTCTATGTTGGAGCGATGAGAAACATTCAGATTATGAAACCACTTGAGGTGTTTTGCTCTGCCACTTATCTAGCTGTTCGTGTCTTTAATATGCACAGCATGGTTTTTATCTTCTGCAACTTCTAAAAGAAAGCACGAATAATACATGAGTACACTGCAAAAAATTTATATCTATATAAGTAAATTTTTCTTAAAATAAGTGCATTTTGTCTTGATTTGAAGTAAGTGAGACACTTTGCTAATAGAACAAATAATTTACCTTTAAAATAAGAAAAAACGAATGCATTGTCTTATTTTAAGTGGATATTATCTTATTTTAAAAGTAAAAACACACATTCCATTGACAAATCATATTATTTACCTACTTAAATTTAGGGTAAATACACTTAATTTAAGATTTTGTTTTACTTATATCTAGATCATTTTTGCAGAGATTGTTTTGCATATCCATCTTTAAGGTTTACAAAACAACAAGTTTGCCTTCAAATCTCCTTTGACTGTCTTCCAAATTTTGCATCCTCTAAAAAGAACAATTTGTTCGCCTTTTTTAGTCTTTCTTTTAGTAAAGGATACATGGTTTTTGAAACTTTTCCACCAAAGAAAATCAGCAACATAAGGTGTATATTTGTTTGAAGTCCCCACTCAGTCAATAGGTCTGATCTGCTACCATTGTATGTAAGGATGCTTTGTTCAAGGAGATGCTCAGTGTTTCATGTTTCTACTCTGCCAATAGAATTAGACTTCGACAAATTTTATTGAAATTTCGTTTTGTACAGCTCTCAGGACATTTCCAGTTCTTAAAGTGCAGCAGTGATAAAATGTAAACAGTGTGGGAGAAAAAACATGGTGCAAAAAAAAACCCACAATGATATGGAGGTTCAGAGCATTAAATATATATGGTGCAATTATGCAATGTTTTGGTTTGGTGTTATCAGTGTGATGCAGGGTCTGTGACATGATATAGAGTTTTCTCAAAAGTTCAGTTGTCTGATGGCGGTGGGGAAGAGGTAGTTGGAGAATCTGCTGGTTCTGCATTGAATGCTGCAAAGCCTCTTCCCAGAGGGCAGCAGGGAGAACAGTCCATGGTGGGGGTGTGAGGGGTCATTGATGATGTTACAGGCTCAGGACACTCAGTGCTGGGATGAAATGTCTTTTGTGGATGGAATAGGAACCATGATGATTCTCTCTGCTGTTCTTACCACTCTTCTCACCTTCTTCCAGTCTGAGGCGTTGCAGCCTCCACACCACACAGTGAGACAGCTGGTCAGAACGCTCTGTATGGCCCTTTTGACCAGTGAGGTGGTGTTTACAGTCCAGGTGAGGTTGTCTGTGATGTGCACCCCCAGGTGCTGCTGACCACCTCTACAGCTGAGCTGTTGGTCTTGATAAAGGTCTGATTTGAGAACAGATTCTCTAAGATGGGCTGTGAATCTTTGCTGCTCTTTCAGGGTAACCTTGGTTCTTTTTGCCTGTTACAAGCTTCCTCTTTTTCTCACACTTTTGTGGTTTAGAAGCTTTGTGCTACTTGGTGCTTGTCTCTCATGTTAAATTCAAATAAGATACTCTTGAGCTTTTGTTGTAGTCTGAGGGGTATGGAAAATTTTGCGAGGTTCTATCAATAGATTTTTAAAAGCCTTCTTACATCCCTAAATTCAAAAGAGTTCCAAAATAATTAGACACGAATGGATGAGCTTTAGATTTCGTCCCGTCTGGCTGCTATAAATTCCCACAGAGGGAGTTTGTACCCTAGTGACCACCCTTCCTCCGGGTGTCTGAAATGTGTCTAGGGCAAATTACAGATTCTGCTCATGCAAAAAGCAATAAGTGAAGAAAAATCTATCTGACTAGACCCCCCCCCCCTTCTGTTATGGATGTTTGGTCAATATACATAAATCCTGGAGTAGTTTATGTTATTCCTGCTCATACTTCCATTGTGATGGAGGCTGGTCTGTAAGAGGTCATTGTCTTTTAAATAGAAAAAGACAAAAAAAGAAATAAGTGGAAGCAGTAGGAGGTTGGATGGAGAGCGTTTGTGAACAGGAGTTTCAGTTCTTTCCACAGATTCTCGAAAGGAATCGGTCCGGACTTTGACTTGGCCCTTCTAACACTTGGATATTTTCATTTATGAACCATTCCATTGTAGATTTAGCGTTATGTCCATCTTTGTCCCAGTCACAGGTCTTTTTTGGACTCCAACAGGTTTTCCAGAGTGGTCCTGTATTTGGCTCCATCCATCTTCCCTTCAATTTCCATCTTCTCTGTCCCCGCTAAAGAAAAGCAGGCCCAAACCATGATGGTCCTGCCACCATGTTTGACAGTGGAAATGATGTGTTCAGGGTGATGAGTTGTGTTTTGCATTTTTGGAAAAAGTTAGATTTTGGTTTCATCTGACCAGAGCACCTTCCTCCACATGTTTGCTGTGTCTCCCAGGTGGCTTGTAGCAAACTTCATTAAGAAATGTTTTATTCCATAAAGGTCAGGTTTCTGCAGCATACGACTGACTGTTGTCCTGTGTACAGAGTCTCCCACCTCAGCTGTAGATCTCTGCAGTTCATCTAGAGGGATACAGGGCGTCTTGGCAGCATCCACATCAGGATCTCGGACCTGCCTAATGTGTTCCTTGTTCTTCACGATGCTCTCTGTGCTTAAAAGAGACCTCTGAGACGATCACAGAGCAGGAGCATTTAAATGGAGACTTGATTACACACAGGTGGATTATATTTATCCTTTAGATCAACATTGAATCATTCAAAGATCCTCACTGAACTTCTGGAAAGAGTTTGCTGCACTGAAAGTAAAGGGCTCCATTAATCTTACACACCCCACTCTTCAGCATTTTATTTGGTAAAAACAGTTTAAAATATCCAATAACTTTTGTTCTGCTTCATAATTGTGTCCCACTTGCTTCACAATAAATTTAAATTTTAAACAAGTAAACAAGCCTGATGGAGCTACTGAACTAAAATTGTGTTGAGCAATGAGAAATGTTCAGACTTCTGCACTTGTTGACAGGTATGTTGGTTCATTGTTAATGAGCGCTGTACTTTTATTTGTCGGGGAGTTTTTATTTTTAATTATTATTATTAAAAAAAAACAACTTACAATCAATATTTTATTTAGTTAAATGTAATTTAGTAAATGTTTATTTATTGTTATTTTTTCAGTTTAGTTTTATTTTCTCTAATGCAAGAGTATGTAAACTTTCAAGCATAACTGAATATCAAATAGTTTTTCTTAACAAAAGAATAACTAAAAATATGTAATTTTTTTTCTGTTAAAGCAGAGAAAAAGCAACAATTTCAATGTGCATTTAATACAGAAAGGTTTTAAATTAAAGTCTGGACTAAAATCTGAAAAGAGATCTGATTTGGTTATTTATCTCAAAAAAGAGGTTTAGATCTTTCTTCATATAAAAGAAGACTTAAGGCTCGGGTTCAGGTTCACCTTCCATCAGGGCAGCCCTAAACATGCAGCTAGAGCTACCGTTGCATGGTTTACATCAAATAATATCCCTTTATTGGAATGGCAGAGTAAAAGTCCAGACCTAAAACCAATTGAAAATGCATGGAACTTCTTTAAATAGATTCTTCAAAGACATTCATTTGATTTGAACAAAGCTAATATATTCACAAAAGAAGAGTAAACTTCCAGATGTGTAAGACTGAAGGACACAAACCAAAAAAGATTGGAGAGAACGGGGCTTTTTCAAGGTACTAACTCCCACAAATTTTAGATTTTTATTTGCAAAAATGTTTGAAAACCCTACTTCTTTTCCTTTTATATCGCAGTTATTCTGTAAATGTAATGATTTATAATAAAGAAACAGCTAACTGTTTGTTGTTGCAATGACATAAATTTAGACAAAGTTACCAGGTGTGAATACTTTTGTAAAGGGGATGTGTTGAGATGCGTTTTCTTTCACTCACCGCAGGCCATGGGCTCTGAGCTCGCGGTTTGTCCTCAGCCTCTCCAGGTCCTGCACATCTCGGAACAGAAAGAAGACATCTTTGCACTCGGGATGGGTCTCAAACAACCTGTTACCAAGACAACAAAAGCAGCAAGAGCAGCCATCCGTAAGCCTCTGAGAGCCACTCGTGAGGCAGCTTGTCACATTCATGGCCAAACCGAAACAAACGTCCCCCTCGGGTTTTCTCCCCATCACAAAGATTGAAAGCCTTTAGGATTAGTCACAGTGTAATCCTGCGTTCAAAAAGACAAACATTTATAGTCTTCATGATTAGTATCTTCCCTGTTCAGCCATTTTTCTTCCTCCTGCACTCAGAAAAGAGATCAGATTGTGTTTTGTCTGATTATTATGATCTTTTTTAATCACAGCCTGATTTTAAAAATCAGTAACTGAAACAAATAACAGAATACAGAAGACCTGCAATGTATCAGCCAAATGTTTCCTGCTGTCAGTTCCAGCCTCGGCTGAATGAAGCCACTGCATCTACTCCAGGACTGATTTAACCCTTTGAACCTTCAGCCCATTTTTCTCAAAATTACATACTCTAATTAAAAATGAGTGTATCTCTGTAACCACAACATCTATTTGAATACATTTGGTAAAACAGCAAAGAGAAGAGCAGTTTCATCTGTTACTGTTTATTGGCTTGTGTCTCTGCAATGCATTGATGGAGAGGAAAGTGAAGCACATGGCTCGAGTCCCTACTTTAATTTGATATGTACTGTGTGCTGTTTAATGCAGGATGTGGCTGTGGAAACAGAAATGTGGATTATAGGTTGCTATTGTTTTTATTTAATTTAGGTATAACTTTAATTTTGTTTTTTAAATTTTAAAACGATCTGTGCTTGCTTGTATCCTTCTGGAGTTTAACTTGATGTGCCACATTGCTATATTCTCTGTCATTAATGCATAATTTAACCCTGTTGTTTTTGAGTAACTATGGCTTTAAAAGCTACCTTTAGATTTCTCTGACTGAGCTTTGTGAGGTTTTTTTCAGTAGTAGATTACAGAGTTAAGGAGGGTGTTCATGCTTGCATACCTAAAATCTTTTTTTTTACTCATTACCTTTTTTCCAAACAGATAAAAAAAAAAAGAAAACACTGCAACTATAGTTATAAAGACATTTTAATCATCATCCGCCCTACTTAATAAAAAAAGTAATAAAATGTAGGCAACCAGACTTAAGAGTCAAAATCCTGATTCTACATTCTTTTTTACACTCCAGCCAAAAAGTATTCAATAAAAGACGTTTCTTTGAATTGTAACATTTATCTAATAATAAGTTTAACAGTTCTGGTAAGACATTGTTGGAAAAAAAAAGTCCACAAGAACTTTTACTGCTAATGTCAGATTTGGTGGAAGTTATTTGAGGAACCAAATGCAGAGAGTTTCTTGCATATTTAATGAGTAGAGGCAACAGAAGCACAAATCCAGGAATAATAAAAATTAAAGAAAAAGAAAACCTGGAGACGCCAGGGAGAAACACACACGAGGAGCTAAGCAATAAAGAGAATCCAGCAATGCTGCACATGAGGTGTACATATGGGAGACAGAACAAAGACAGGGCTAATCAGCGGATAGGGAGCAGGTGTGGATAGAAGTACCTAGAAGGGAGCTAGGGAAAAGGAGACTGGCACACGAGCAACAGAGAGAAACTCAAAAAATTCAACACTGCTTAAATATCACACAAAATGGAAAAGAAACCCAATGACCAACAAAACAGTATTACATAACTGAAAACTTAAAACGAAACTCAAAAAGAAGTCCCCAAAGGGCAGAACTATGACTCCTAATCACTAGAATGCTTTTCTAATTTTAGACTTTAATGGATTTTTTGATATCGGTGACCAATCACACCAATCCAGTGGTTCCTAAGAACACGAATTGGGTGTGCTTTTTTTAACTCATTATAGATTTTCTGTAATCAGCAGATTTTTAATGATGCACACTCAATTGTTTGATAAATATCCATTATTAAGTAGGAGAAAATCCCACAATTTTATAGTCATTGGCTACCTGCATTGGCACAATTCAGGATAGTAATTCAACCTCTCATCTTATCAAAAATAGCTGAGTTTATTTATATTGGCTAGTTTTTACACAGAGACTCGGCTTTAGGGCTGTACAGGTATTTTTAAATAACTAAAACTTTTTACTGTTTTACTGCTTCAACAAGTCAAAAACTGGTTTCACTGTGTTTGGGATCATGATACTGGTGGAACCCCCAGTTATGTTCCAGTTTTAACCTTTTTAGTGTTGATATGGGCTCAAGTAGAAGTGGTATTATACATTAGTGAGCTTGGAAGTGAATAAAACCCTCAACATGATGCTGCCACCACCATGCTTGGTAAAGTTTTCCCAAGAAAAAAAAAAAGGATATACTTGCATCCTACAGCGTTTCTCTTAGGGACATTGTAAACACATGGACGTTTGGTTTGAAATGTTTATTTCATAGTCAACACTTTTTCCCTGAATGTTGATCTTTATTTTTTACCAATAGGTAATTATCCCAGAGTGACATCCAAATTAGTTTTGGACAGATTAAAAATCAGGCTAAAACCAAACCAGATTAATAGCTGTGGCCTGGGCCCTGTTAAAATCTTAACATGCTTGAAGGCCACATTTGAGCCTGAAAATGGTTGATTAAATATGCAGCAATACTTCCACTAAAACTATGTTGATAGCAACGGAAAGCATCAGGGTCAAATGCAGCTTTTTAGCATTTTATTACAGATAATAAATTCTGACTGTTTCTGGATTACAGGAAATAAATTACAATAAATTCATACTTGTGCATCTAATTATCACTATTAAGAATCAGTTGGATGATTTATTATAAACCCAACTCTAAGAAAAAAATGAATTAATGAACACCCCAATATCCTGACAACTTTGGCTTACTGTCATTATGCTACTTATAAAACATGGAAATATACCTAATAGACATGTTTTAGTTTTTTTTTTCTTTCAAAGAACTGATGATAAAAGCAATCAAAAAGTGAACAAAGAAGAAAAAAAACATGGTTATTATATTCTCCTTTATTTGCTATTATCATAGCTTCAAATCTATTTGGTGCGACAATTAATTTAGAAAAAATGAATATCCTTCATTAATCAGGTTCCAGCTTATAGGATATAGGTTCCATTACAGCTTCTGTAATGTTATTAGCTTGTAGTTTTAATAAAAAGCTCTAACCTAGCAGCCTGCAGCCAGTGTCATTTAGCTGGCATGTCTTACTTCATTAAATCTTATAAGTAATAGTAAGGTGTTTTTTTTATTGCACTGCCTTAGCATGTATTGTCATTTAAAACTATGCATCATTTGAACCTGCTTATTTGGATTAAAACTTTTTCCAAAATGCCAACAATGACCATTTGTACATTTAATGAAAGGAAAATGCTTGTTTTCTCCAGGCTGTTCTCTTAGCGTTTTTCATCTGACCTGCACCAAACCAGCATTCTGGCTCCCTCTAATCTTGTTTTCTCCTCTTTAGCTGTTTATAGTGATTTACATCTAAACCCTTCAGTGTGTAAACCTCATTTCCTTCTGCTCTTGCATTACAGTTCAGCCTCGACCACCGACTGCCATCACTGCCTGTTTGTGTTTCAATCCTTTTCCTCATATTAAAGCTTCGGGTTTTCTCCCTCATTACTTTGACATTTCTCACAGCATCTCCATTTTGTTTGGCCTTGGTCCAAGCAGTAACAACCTGCACTCGGTGCAGGGTTACCATCTTGACAGGAATTTCTCAATCCTTCCAAATGTTTCAGCTCAAAGTGCTCTTATTAGAGTTCTTGTTTCCTGTCACTCAGCTACAACTTTACGCTCACCGTGACAACACTTATTTGTGAACCCATTTTCTCCAAGAGGAAATGGTTTCCTAATTGCTCTCTTCTGCCATTTTTAACCTTATTTTTTTCTCCTTTTGTAAGAATTTTTTCAAATTCAGATTTGAGGACCATTTAAATGAATAAAATGTTAAAACTTTTTAAGATGAGAACGATCATCATGATCAGCAATTTCTCACAGTCAGCAATACTGCTATAAAAAGAGAAATGTTGCACTTCATTATGGAAAAACATTATTTTTGGAATCAGAAAAAGGTTTCCGGTAATTTATCATATTCAATCGTGACAACTTTTATTTTCCTTTACGGATGACTATTTAAAAGCTATAAGCGCACACATATTCATAATTTGTGAATTTTACTTGCATCCACAAACCATGATGCTGCCACTACCACCTTTTTTTTTTTGCATGACAGGAAACCTTCTTCTGCATTTTTTGTCTCCTAAAGGGCTTGTTCCAAACAAAACAACTAACATCTTGAATTTATTTATATAATGTATTTGTTTTCTTGCCATCCATCCATGAAGGCTGGGTTTGTTGAGTGCACCAGGAAATAGTAAATTGACCAGCAGCGGGCAGCATGTAGAGCTCTTCTTATTTTCCACTATTCTTTGTACCTCCTATTGACAAGAGTGTGCACGCTCTCCTGACATAACCACACAATGTTGCTCCCCCAAATAGCTCAAGTGGGATATTAATTGGCTTTGCACAGAGGTTGCATTCAGTCCAATTATGTATTATTCACAACCGTTTGATCCACTCTTTGCTCATTTGAATATATGTGAGGGAGAAACATTCTTTGGCAGGTAGATGAATACTGAAAGTTTAATTCAGAGAGAAGATGATTCTATTTACTGCTGAGATGTCGTGACCCTGATTTGTCTCCGAGCTTCATATGCTATCTGAAAACTATAAATCCGATTTTCTTTGTACACCATGATTTTACAGTTTATTACTTTATAATCCTTAAATTGCTTCATTTTTCCTGTGAATGGTCAGAAAGCGGAAAATGTTTTCCTGGATGTTGGTTATCATCATAACCGATAGAAATTAGCTTTCCTGGTAGATAATTGGCCTAATCACCCGACACTACTGCAGACCAGAAGCTCTGTATTGTCATGTAATGATGTTAGGATGGAAGAGATAAGAGCAGAGGACAACGAGGAGGCTTCTGCTCCAGCGCTCAATGAAAATCTGAGGTTCAGAGTAGGAAGCTGGATGTAAAGCTTGTGGCTTGTAAAGGGTCAGACACTAGCCCCATCATTAGAGCACCTCCAAAGAGCTTTTATAGACATTTGGAACCAATAAGTCAGCAGAGATGGGAGATGTATCAGTAAAACAACCAGCTGATACGATGCGCCACCCAACCTGGGGTAGCCTGTGAATATCTAAAAAGATTTGCACCCCTAATACCTTTATTATAATTTCTGCTTGCATGGCTGCTCAATAGAGAGAACTGGGTACTGCTTATGCTTTGCACAGCGAACATGGCCCTGAAGCTAATCAAGGTGAATCATACTGATTTAAAAAAAAACAAAAAAAACAGACATAACCAATTCAGGATTAAAATCAACACGATAAAACCTGCACTGGGTTCATCTTTCCAAAATAGAGATCTTAAAAATAAAAATTGAGAGTAATTCATTGTTACTTTAACACTTATAAATAAATGGGCTTCCTTTCACTCTTTCATCTATTTATACTCAAATTTCATGCATTACTGCCCCTCTCTATCCTCATTTTCTAGCTTTAAACAAATCATTTTGCAATCCTTTTATCTTTCATTGTTAAATATGTTTTATCAGTAAAAGAATTATAGTCATAGAAATGCACAAGAAGAGTGTGTTAAATAGGTTATATGTAGGTTATATATCTTTATAAAGACCAGAAGGAACTTTGATCAGATCAATTTTTAACTGAGTAATTTAATCACTTAGAGTAATCTATAAAATGGGGGATTTAAAACATTCCCCTTGTGGTTAGAAATTGGTGCTCTCAACCATGAAGTGACCAAATCTTCAAATAAAGACCTGCTGATAGATAGATTGTTAAGGTCAGGTTTTGAGGGCAAATAGAGTCTCGGTTTCTCTAAAACATTACAGATAGAAATACATCATATAGATGGTCCAAAGTTTCCCATTAAATACAGTTTAAATTATTTTCTATAACAAAAGCTGCAGCATTTCAACCTGTTTAATCTCTGTCATTGTTTTAATAACAGCTTCTTTTGAAAAGAATAAAAAAACATTGTATTTTCATGTAAAGTATCTTAATGGGAAATGAAGGCTCCAGAAAAAAAAAGAAAACATCACAACCGTCCTGTTGAAGAGTGCTTCCAAAGAAAAAGTTAATTTTCTTTACTTACTTTTTCTATTGTGACAAGATTACTGGATTTTAGTCTAAAAAAACATCTTTACTTTTTGCATTAAATTTAATTTATCCACATAATATAGATCATAATCTACTGTTTCCATTGTTTGTTTAACATTAAATCAAAAAAACAAAATAAAAAAATAAAAAATCAGACCTGTAAAGCAGAGAAATGTTAACCCCCTTCTTACCTGACAAACATAATAATACCAACTTTGGCGATATCGTCTCGAATAACTTTCCAGGAGTCCTTGATCATCTGGATGCGCTCCTCGCTGGGGCGCACAGCGGCTGCAGCATCCTCTCCATCTCTCTGGGAAAACTCCGTTTTTGTTGCCAGACCTGAAATCGCGCAGCCCATTCTTCATCTAAAGCAGCAGAAATGATGGTTTTAATCTACTGCCAGTCAGTCGCAGGGACTGAAACAGAAACGTTAAGCAGTTCTGAGCTGGAGCAGAGCTGCTGCAGGTGATGCATCTGGTTTCTGGTGCCTCCTGAACTCTGTCGCCTCTTTTTGGGGAGAAAAAAAAACAAACACACACACATCAAGTCAGAAATGATCGATCAGGAGGCAGGTTCTGGTTCATGCTTTCACAATAAAACAGAGACCTGGGTAATATAGCTCAACTTGTGCTTTTATTTTGTAGAATAGTGCTATTTCCCCTCGGTGTAGTCAACATTTTGATTCAGCCTCTTCCACTGATTTTCAACTCAACAATGATCCAGTTCAGGGTGTAGCTACTGAATTGGACTAGATTTAGAGGTTGTTCCTCAATTCACACTGGGTGGAGATTTTAAATACACACTCACATAAACATAATCAACCTTTATTTGGATAATTGTGCTTTGGCAAACAGAGAGGCGTTCATCCTAAAACCACTTCAATCTAAAAAAA